TCTAACCGGTTCGGTAGATTTGACAAACCGGTTCTACCGAATAGGTGCAAACTGGTAGGAACCCACCTCTGGTTTAAGGGGATATCCTAATAAATCATCTTTCAGACTATACAGTGTCTACTCGGCTAAGAGTTTATGAAGGGTACAAGAAGATTTTTTTTTCTACCTGTAACTCCTTAGAAAACAAAAAATGGAGCTTAAGTAGGTACTGTCTGAGTAATTTTACCTACCAGGGATCTTACTTCTCTTGGTTTTGGGAATCCTAAGCATCCAGCTGAATTTTTTTCTAGCTCCTTTTGGCCAATTAGACCTAGTCAGTGGGCTGCACTTTGCTAGGTGAAATATATGCATCCTTGATAATTTAGCTTATATGATATATTAGGCTGAACAGATTTTAGCACTTTAAAAAAGAGCATTTTATGTAATGGCTTCATGTTCACACTGTAGGAGTATGAAGAACTATAATTTCATTTTCCTTTTGCAGGATATTAAATCTGATGCACTAATGGGACATAGCTGCATAAAATTATGCACTATCTTTATCTTCATTTCTGTCTGCTCATCGATATTATGACATGGGGATTCTTAATGGTTTTAAAACAGTGATCTTTCTTTTAATTGGCCATTGAGTCCTCTTCCTTGTCTTAGTGAAGTCAATATTAGTAAATCCATATACAACGTATATGTTTCATTATCTATTTTAGCTAGAAGATATTATTTCATTTTAAATTATTTAATCTGATTAGTTAGTGGCTTATACAGTTACATTTATCTGTTGCAAATAAAAGGGTGGTCTTATATTTTATTTTTTCATTGATGTCTTTGTTAATATTATAAAGTATCTAGTAACACCCTTTTAATTTTATATGTAAAAATCAATGAACTCCAATTTAGCAGGAAATATAAAGGTGGTTTGCTTTTTAAACATCTAGTTTAAAGGGTTCTGCATTGAAGGGAAAGCAATACTATCTATAAATTTAAAACATGATGTTATTGAAGTGGTATTGTGACTAACATGTTTCCCTAGAATCTTCTGTAGTTGAATTACTATAATCTTCCTAACATCCTTCTCCTCAATTGGAACGTTTGGAGCAATGGTGGGTTTCAAAAATTTTTAGAACCTCTTCTGTAGGACATGTGTTTTTTCTTTGTTTGTTTCAGTGAAAGAATCCCACCTGTTGTGATCATGCCTATTAGTAGGCTGACTTTACCTTTAGGCAGTGGTGAGTTTCAAAAATTTTTAGAACCTCTTCTGTANCTCCTCCCCTTTCTTTTCCCCCTCCCACTCTTTCTGTTGTTCCAGCCCTTTCTTTTGCCCCTCCCACTTTCTTTTGCCCCTCCCCCTCTTTCTGTTGCTCCTCCCCTTTCTTTTCCCCCTCCCACTCTTTCTGTTGTTCCAGCCCTTTCTTTTGCCCCTCCCACTTTCTTTTGCCCCTCCCCCTCTTTCTGTTGCTCCTCCCCTTTCTTTTCCCCCTCCCACTCTTTCTGTTGTTCCAGCCCTTTCTTTTGCCCCTCCCACTTTCTTTTGCCCCTCCCCCTCTTTCTGTTGCTCCTCCCCTTTCTTTTCCCCCTCCCACTCTTTCTGTTGCCAATCCCCTGTTGCTTTCGGGGAGGCCCAATACTGGGTGGGGGGAGGGAGCTGCGTGTCACCCCATACACGCCACTCTCGCCTCAACTCTGCACACGCTCAGAGGGCCGGCGACGCCCCCCGCCTCGCTGCCTCCAGCCCCCTCCCCTCGCCAAAGGGGGCGTGGCCCAGGCAAGCCCCTCCCCCGTCCGGGCGCTGCGACCCCCCCCCAACCTCCCCCCGCGCACCTTGAGCTCCTCGGCCCGGCGGGAGAGGCGGTTGACACGGCCGCTCAAGCCCTCCTTCTCCGGGAGCCCCGAGCAGGCCAGCACGGCCTCCACCAGCGAGGAGCCGCGCGCCGCCATTCCGCCGCTGCCGCCGGTCGCGCCGCGCGGGGCCTGACGGGAAGGCGCCTTGCCTCTCCCGCCCAGCGCCGCCGACTACCGTTCCCGGCATGCCTTGCGCCGGCCATTTCTCTCTCTCTCTCTCTCTCCGCCCCCCTCCCCCGTGACCATAGAGCCACGCTGGGATAGAGAAGGCCTGTTTCTGGGGCCCCGCCCATAGGGAGGTTAGGCGCGCTGGTGCCCTTATTATGCGCTTCTATACACCGGCACGTAATGTGTGCATAGACACACAGACACGTGCAGCAGATGCCCATGCACAGACACCTGCAGGTTCAGCCCCCCCCCTTCCTCAAGCTGCAGGACAGCCTTGGGCAACATTGGGGATTATGGTTTTTGCAGTCCAGCAGCTCTGGAGATGCCCAGGGTAGCCGGATCAGCCGTCCTGCTTGCAGCCCCCAACCCCGAAAGCCTTGGGGGGGGGGGGTTGTTTATTGGGAGACTGGAATTAAAATGGGCCCCACTGGAAAAGAGCCCGACTCCTACTCATTGCACTTTAAAAAAAAAGAGACTTAAAAAAAAACCCGATTGCTCTTAATGCGCTTNATATCCTTTAGGAGGCTTCCAGAGTGCTCCTGGGGGCTGGGGAGGGCAAAACTGAGCAAAAAATAGGCCGTTTTTTGTTCGTTTTTAACACACACACACCCCAGCTCCCAGGAGCACTCTATAAGCCTCCTAAAGGCTATGCATGCCCTTTTTTTGAAAGAAAAAATGGGCCCGTTTTTGGGAGGTCTGCAGAGTGCAAAAACTTTTTTTAAAAATTTGCCTCTTCAAAGTCCGGTGCAGTTTATACTCTAAAAAATACGGTAAGTCCAACTTTCCTTGAATTCCATTGACCCTTATCTAACTCTTAGCAGGTGCTAATTCTTAATTGAGAAGATTCCTATGCATTGGCTGGTTAGAAATGAATCAACCTGTATGAATTACCTGTATGGAGGTTTGATTCACCATCCCACCTGTTCTCCTTGCTTTGTACCTGTCAGTCAAGGAATAACATGTGTCAGAGTTTGCAGCAGCAATCACACCCAGAAAGCACACACAGGTAACTGATTCATTAACTTCTCTCTATATATAATATAGCACATGAAGCAAATATATAATACCAAAAGCAGATTTCCCAACGTGGTAGTAAATACAAGCAAAACACAGGCAGAGGAAAGAACAGTTTCAGTTTCAGATCAGAGCAGCAGACTAGTTTAGAGCTCAGCACAGACTCAGACCTGCAGAGCTCAGCCATGCCCAGGCTCCAAACTGTTTGAGCTCCCATTGGCTGACCTTGTTACTAAGCCCTATTTCAGTTCATGAATATACTGTATCTGCACTGATAACATGTTATGAGTCATTCCTTTCCATTACTACTTTGTCCCTGGGATGTTGAAAGGTTTGTCCTTCTGCGAGCTGGCCTCAAATGACCCATCTCAAAGGGCGCACTCAAAACTTTTCTTTTAAAAGATGGAGTGACGAGGTTTTAATCATATTTGATTTAGTATGCTGGTGATTGACGTCATGCACTATTTCTGGAGCCCAAATGTGGGTTACAAAGAAATCAAAACTATGCTTTAATTTTTGGTCCAGGGGTCACCTTCTGGGATAGGTTGAAGAGATAACACTTGGTTGGCCTTGTGGAAACCTTCCATAGCATTGAGTTCAGCAAAGAAAGGGACCTTGATTGGATGTCTTCTTCTATCAGATTGAGGTCAGGAAGTTCTGGCAGTTGTGATAGTCTAGTCGCAGTCCCTGCACTGGAAGTCACGAAGAAGTCCTGGATAAATCAGGACTGTTCTCTCTGCAGCAACTGTTCTTCTCTCTAGTTCCACCTAGGAGAAAATTCAGCATCCAAGCCTTGTAAAATAGGAGCCTTCTGTTCTAATTCTGGAATTAAGTTTGCAAAGATACATGTACCTCCACAGTGCCTGCCAACTGCTTGCAGAAGATAACCCATTACATGGGGAATTGGCAGAGGTTTTTAAAATTATTTTTAGCTTCTGCTTACTCAGAGAGAAAATATAAATGAATTTTTAGTCAACAAGAGCATCTCTTTTTGCCTAACCTTGAAGGCCCATGGCAAAGATCCAGTGTGTTTCATAGAGTTGGACGTTGGTTCATCTCGGTTCTAGTGGGATGGAAGCAAGTCCATGGAGATAGATAAGTTTGGTCTAAGCAGAATTTAAAAATAGAAAAACAGACAAGCATAGACAAAAGGCACATTGCAAGGATGTAACAAGTTAGAATTTCAGTACACTTCTAGTAATTAGTAGTAGTAGTAACTTTCCGTGGCACGACAAAACCGCGCTCGACTAAAGNTTTCGAACTGTTAGGTTGGCAGAAGCTGGGACAAGGAACAGGAGCTCACTCTGTTATGCGGCACTAGGGATTCGAACCGCCTAACTGCCAACCTTCTGATCAACAAACTCGGCATCTTAGCCACTGAGCCACCACATACCTTCCTATTTATATCCCAAAAATGGATATGATACAACAATTAAAATATAATGAAAAAAGTTTATACTCACTTTGGGGGAATATTTTTTTGTGCTGAAGGAGACTGTGGTTCTCTGTGGGAAGATGGCGCTGTACAAGATGCCCTGGAAGAAGACAGAAATTGTCAAAAATAAGGACACGATTGTTCTAGTTGGACAAGGCTGGACGAAGCACCTCAAATTTACAATGGATCTAGCACTGAGCTCTGAGCGAGATGACTTGTGCATGAAAGTATTCCCAGTCTGGTCTAGCGGTGAAGGCATCAGGCTTGAAACCAGGAGTCTGGGAGTCCTTCTACGTTGAATCTCTCCTTGTTCAGTTTCCATCCATTATTCATCTTGCCTTGGAAGTGCCTTGGAAAATAGCTTGACCTCCTCATCTCTGTGGCAGCCCCTCAGATATTGGAAGACTGCTATTCTGTCTCCCCTGGTCCTTCTCTTTACTAGACTAGCCATGCCCAGTTCCTGCAACCATTCTTCATATGTTTTAGTCTCCAGCCCCATAATCATCTTGGTTTCCCTTCTCTGCACTCTTTCTAGCAATAGCACTTAGACTTATATACCAATTCACAGTGCTTTATAGCCCTAAGCGGTTTACAGAGTCGGGATACTTCCCCAACAATCTGGGTCCCATTTTATCAAACCTGTGTATGAGAGGTAGACACTGTTTGAGCAACGTTCTTTGAGCTCTCCTCAAACCAGAAGGACATGAGGACAGTATGGAGGTGTCCTCTGAGGTTCAGGTAGGTTAAAAAGAAGCCATGTCTTTTCAAAGGAAGAAAATGTTCAGGAAACTGGAGCAAATATTAGTGCAGAGTTGCTTCCTACTCACAATGGACTGTGGTTCTGCTTCTCCTCAGAATCAGACCTCTGATGGATCCAACTCTTGTCCCCTTTCAGAGTTGTCCTTACTTTCATTTGGGTAATAATCCGTTTCCGGTCTTCCTCACTAGGTAGGATGACGCCATCTTAAAAAAAACAATATGGATCAAGAAGAAGTTGGAAGCCCCCAAGAACAGAGAACCCAATGAGTATCAGATAAACTTAGAAAGCTTGGACTGCAAAGTTGTCTTGAGGACCTCATCATTCTACACAGTTTTGACCGGATTATTCAGGAGGAAAAGTGGCTTTAAAGATCTCAAGGTTGTTTTTTTGGAAAAAGTGAAACATCACTGGGATAAGTGCTGGATTCACATCCATCAACAACTTTCAGTCAATGGTGAAATTTGATTTTTTTTTAACTATCGGTTCTGTGGGCGTGGTTTGGTGGGCGTGGTGTGGCTTGGTGGGTGTGGCTTAGTGGGCATGGCAGGGGAAGGATACTGCAAAATCTCCATTCCCACCCCACTCTGGGGCCAGCCAGAGGTGGCATTTGCCGGTTCTCCAAACTACTCAAAATTTTCTGCAACTACTCAAAAATTCCACTACTGGTTCTCCAGAACCTGTCAAACCTGCTGAATTTCACCCCTGCTTTCAGCCTATCTCAGAAGGTCTCAACAAATAAACACAATTGGAAGACATTACAATTGTTAACTGAGAAAGAGCTCCTAATTTGTCTCAGGCGTAATTTGTACCTGCACAACCATTTAAATCCTACATAATTTAAATCCTTAATTGTTCTACGTATCTGATGCCATCAGCTGTAGCTCATAAAAGCTTATGGGTTTTAATAAAATGTGTTAATCTTATAAAGCTTTACTAGACTCCTCTTGACTCATCTCTATTTGTTTTTTTCTGATTTCTGGATTTTTTAAATAAGTAATCAAGTTGTGTTGTCATTTACAGTTAACCTCGTAGCATAACTCCAAGGTATCTCCGTATTTCAGGTTTAAAGGTTTATACAAATTTGGGATTAAGCGTCCCATAATGTTCATTTACCTTTCATGGCGCCAAGAGACAGCATGATTCACACTGGCTTCCTCACGGTGCAGTTTCCAGCGTTTGACACAAAAATGTAACTAGGACAGAAGAAACGAAAACCAGATTATTCCTGTAAAATGCAGCAGAAAGCAAATAGATGCTCCTCAGCCTTCCCTTGATGTTCCAAGAAAGCCATACTCACAACACACACCTGTTCTGGAAACTAGGATCTCTGTAGGTTAGGGGGAAAAGTCAGAATGGTCTCTACCCTCAAAGCTACACTATAGGGCACTGCACACCAAAATAACTAGACACAGGGACAGTTTTTCCACCCCCATGCCATCACTCTGCTAACCAAATAATTGCCACGACAATGTCAAACTATTTACTAAGACTGTATTACTATTCTTCTTCTCATCTTTCCTATTAACTGTCTCCTTTTCTGCTTATGACTATAACTTTGTGGCTTGTATCTTTATGATTTATATTATTTTATTTTGTTTCCTAGTATGATTTGTGTTGATTGCTTATTTAGTATCCTAGGACTATCACTGTTGTATCTTATGATTTATGATGAATGTCTTTTTATGATGACTATGATCATGATTTATCACTTATAGCTTTTATGTACAATGGAAGCTTATGCACTGAAGACAAATTCCTTGGGAATCCAATCACACTTGACCAATAAAGAATTCTATTCTGTTCTGTTCTGTTCTGTTCCTGTTCTGTTCTGTTCTAGTCTAATCTAGTCTAGTCTAGTCTAGTCTATTCCCTATTCTATTCTATTCTATTCTATATGCATCAAAGACAAATTCCTTGTGTGTCCAATCACACAATTCTATTCTATTCTATTCTATTCTTGTTCTATTCTAATTCTAATTCTATTCTATGCTATCCTATTCTATTCTATGCTATTCTAGTCTGGGTACCACATAAAAAGTGGGTAGAGGTTTGATTGTTCCCCTGTGGTTACCATCCTGATTTTTAAATAACACCCTGCAGATATCTCTCTATGGCAGGGGTCCCCAAACCCCAAATTGTGGACTGCCACTGGTTAATGGCATGCCAGCAACGGTCCACATAAATAAGCAAAGCCTCAGGCAGCATGCAAAACCACGCCCCTCTGATCCACGGGAAAAACCTCTGTCCATGGAACCGGTCCCTGGTGCCCAAAAGGTTGGGACCCACTGCACTCTGAGATTAATACCCCACAGTTAAGGTTACTTAATTTTTAATATAATTTTATTGAAAGTTGTAAAACCAGAGGTAAAACCATAATCTAAACCGAAAGAGGGAGGGAGAGGGAGGGAGGGAGAGAGGGAGGGAGACGAAAGAGCAAGAAAGAAAAAGTAAGAGAAAAGTAGAAAAAAAGAGGCAAGATACAAAGAGGTAACTTTTAAAACATCCTTAAAGATCCATCTCATCCTAGGCACCCTATTTTTTTAACTATTACCATCTGGCAGACGGTACAGGACAATAAAAACAAGGAGAAATAGGCTGAAAAACAGCTTCAATGCCAGAACAGTAACTATATTGAATTCTACTGTATAGTGCAATATTAATGCAATATCAGGGGTTTTCAATTCAATTGTATGGAATGTGAAGGATGTGTGTTATTGTTTTATTTTTTATGTATAATATACACTGAAGATGGCATTTAATTTCATTGTACGATGTGCAATGACAATAAAATGAACTAAACTAACTTCCACTTTTCTTTATGGCACTTATTAGCAGAATTATAAATTCTCTAAGGTTGATCATGACTGTTTTTTCTTTATCTATCCTTTCTAAATAATCCAGACTGTAATGGATGCTTTCCCCCCGTTTTATGCATTAAAAAAAAGTCCATAAGGCGCTGGAGTTCATTTTACATAAACTGAGAGAACAGGCAGAAGTGACCAATGAAGTTCGGAGCTCATTTGAGCTGGGATTTGAACGCAGCTCTTTGCAATCTTTAGCCTGCCATTCACAGCCAGGAGGGGCCACATTTTGTTAATGGAAGCCAAACAGTTGGTGGACAAATATGGGAAAGGGGGAATCAAGATTAGCCCTGGAGCAGAGCAATTACACAATGCTCTTTTACGTGGTAACTCAGTGGCTAAGACACTGAGTTTGATGATCGGAAAGGTCAGCAGTTCGGCGGTTCGAATCCTAGCACCGCGTAACGGAGTGAGCTCCCATTCTTTGTTCCAGCTTCTGCCGACCTAGCAGTTTGAAAGCACGTAAAAAATGCAAGTAGGAAATTAGGAACCACCTTTGGTGGGAAGGTCACAGCGTTCTGTGTGCCTTTGGCATTTAGTCATGCTAGCCACATGACCACGGAGATGTCCTCGGACAGCGCTGGCTCTTCAGCTTTGAAACTGAGATGAGCACCACCCCCTAGAGTCAGGAATGACTAGAACATGGTTGTTCAATCTCTTCTTAAAGACTTCCAGCGTTTGAGCATTCAGAACCTCTGGAGACAAGTCCTTCCACTGGTTCATTGTTCTCACTGTCAGGAAATTTCTCTTTAGTTCTAAGTTGCTTCTCTCCTTGATTAGTTTCCACCCATTGCTTCTTGTCCTGCCTTCAGGTACTTTGGAGAATAGCTTGACTCCGTTCTTTGGGGCAGCCCCTGAGATATTGGAACATTGCTATCATGCCATCACTGCTATCATTTCTTTTCATTAAACTAGACATACCCAATTCCAGCCACTGTTCTTCATATGTTTTATCCTCTAGTCCCCTAATCATCTTTGTTGCTCTTTTCTGCACTCTTTCTAGAGTCTCAACATCTTTTTTACAATGTGGTGACCAAAACTGAGTGCAGTATTCCAAGTGTGGCCTTACCAAGGCATCATAAAGTGGCATTAACACTTCACGTGATCTTGATTCTATCCCTCTGTTTATGCAACCTAGAACTGTGTTGGCTTTTTTGGCAGCGACAACGCACTGCTGTCTCATATGTAAGTGATTGTCCACTAGGACTCCAAGATCCCTCTCACAGCTACTACTATTGAGCTAGGTACCACCTATACAGGTACCTGTGCATTTGATGTGGTAGGAGGAAACTGTCACTAAAGAGCCGGGTTGAGATTTGCAGCGTGATTCATGTTCGGAAAAGCTGAGCATTGGCAAGAATTGCTTGTTGTTGCCCAAAGCCATAGCTGAAGCAAACAGCCGACATGCCCGGCTTTGCATAATTCTACCAAGCCAGAAATTCAAGTGCAGCCTGAATGTTTGAGATGAGCTTTTTCCAAGTTCAAATGAGAGCCGGGTGGAGACAGTTGAGAGGAAAAACTTGACTCTTCAGTGTCTCACTGAGGGTGTCGTAAATCTAGATCTACAGTTGGATAAAGGGGAGTTTGCTCACGGCTGCATCAAGTTGTGGAGCAGAGAACACCTCTGATCAACAAGCAACAAAAATATTCTCGCATAAGAACGGGGGACATCCTGGCTGGATTCACCTGTCATGCTGAACCACAGCACAATAAAATTGTGCTCGATTGAAGTGGAGGCTGAACTCAGCTGTTGTGGCTGATAACCCACCATTCATGGCTTACAAATCCAACCAACTGTGGTTTGTTGTTCAAAGAAACTACACTTTAATGCGTTGTGAATCCATCGCTATGTTCCACTTCTTATGATTGCAGATGACTTTTTCATGGTTACTTAAGTAAACATGAGTCATTTATGAATATTCACCAACCTAGGTTTTTTTCCTCCTCTAAGTATTCCTGCATACCTAAAAATTCCAAATTATTGGGAGGGGAGGGGAGGGAAGGAGAGGGGAGGAAGGGGAGGGGCGGGGGGGAGGAAGGAAGGAAGGATAAAAGGGAAGGGAAGGGAGGAGAGGAAGGAAGGAGAAAAGGGATGGGAGGGGTGGGAGGGAAGAAGAAAGGAAGTATAAAAGGGAGGGGATGGGAAGGAGGGAGGGAGGAAGGGAGGAAGGAAGGAAGGAAGGAAGAAAGAAAGAAAGAAAGAAAGAAAGAAAGAAAGAAAGA